AAAGGTTTATTCAAGGTACGAGCTTTCCTCTGCAAGGCACACTTCAAAAAAATAAATAAATAACATGGCTGTCTTGAGCGCTCCTATAATGTTTAAATACACATCATTGTTTTCCTTTATTCACAAGAGAAACCAGAATACTCCGAGTTAGCAAAATAAAAACTTGTCTTTGGACAATTTACCAGGAAGTAAATTCTCTTGGATGTTTCTTCCTTAAGGCACCGCGTATAAGATTCAGCCGCTAATTAAGGACAACTAAATCTATTACACCAAGACGGTGAAAACCTACAAGGCCAATGGGAAAGTGGGGAAGAAAAAGAGAAAACTGCAAAAAGCCGCGGTACCCGAAGCATTTTCTGACGGCTAGAATCACCCACCAATCCTCCCCTCCGCCTTCTCCTACCCCCTCAGCCAAAGAGCTCCGAAAGCTCCTCCTTTTCCTGCTGGTTTCTGGCTGTAGCTACCGCTCTCCGCAGTAGGCGCACAGGCGGCGACTGTTGTGCGCTACAGCCGGAGAGGGTTGTCTGGACCTCCCTCCCTCCTTCCTGCCGGCAGCTACACTGCTCACACAGCGCCTCCCTCCTGGGGGAGAGAAGGAGGAGCCTGCCGGGGCTCTGACACCACCCCCTGGCCACGCGTCTGGTGCGTTGCTGAGCAGCTGATGCTGGAGTAGCCATTTCTGCAAGAGCGGCGGGGGCGTCCGGCTGCATTGCAAACGGCATGTTGGGCGCTCCGTGGCTTTCCTGGGGCGGCTGTGCGAGACCCGCCGCTTTGCGGTGGCTGAAGCGCTGCAGGAGGCCGAGTTGTGCCGCGGCCGCTGGAGGCCAGCGGGGGCCGCCGGGCCAGGCTCCCCGGAGGAGGTGGTGCTCTGCGCTCTCCGAGGGCGGGACGAAGTGGGTCAAGCCCGCGGGCTGTGACACCGGCATCCAGACCTACAACAGCCTGAGCAGAAGCAAGGAGCCGCTCATCCTGGGCAACGCGGATGTGGTGACTTGGTAGACTGTTTAGGAAACTGTGGGCTCGGGTTGGCATCTCCGCACCCGGCTTCTCTGCTTTTGTAACACTGCAGGCAGCAAACCGGTCGGCATAACTTCACCTCGTGTGGAGAAAGAATAATGGGCTGGGGGGGGGGGGGGGGTGTCTGCTGTGATTTTCTGCTTGCCCCACCGTTTATGAAAATCGTAGGAGGAAATGGCAGCCTTTTATAAGGGTCCGCATAGATTTAAAACCGGAGCATGATTACAAATCCTTTGACTTGGAAGCAAGTCTGGTAGTGCAATCCTAAACAGAGTTCAGGGGGCCCTGTTGGTCTGAGGCAGCAGAACAAAGTTTGAGTCTAGTGGCAACAGAGCTTTATTCAAGGCATACATTTTTGTGTGCACGCACACCTGGGGGCCCCCTGGAATTACAACTCATCTCCAGACTACAGAGATCAGTTGCCCTGGAGAAAATGGATCATTTGGAGGGTGGATTCTATGGCATTATACCCCACTGAGGTCCCTGTCCTCCACAGACTCCATTCCCCAAATCTTCAGGAGTTTCCCAGCCTGGATATGGCAACCTTAGCAGAGTTACACCCTTCAAAGTTTGTTTAAGACATATGTCACTTTGCTTGGGATTGTGCTGTAGATGAGGCTGTCTGGTTCCAGGACTTGCTCCTTAACCCGTCTGCCAGTTCTTCAGAGCTTTATTCAAGGCATACATTTTTGTGTGCACGCACACCTGGGGGCCCCCTGGAATTACAACTCATCTCCAGACTACAGAGATCAGTTGCCCTGGAGAAAATGGATCATTTGGAGGGTGGATTCTATGGCATTATACCCCACTGAGGTCCCTGTCCTCCACAGACTCCATTTCCCAAATCTTCAGGAGTTTCCCAGCCTGGATATGGCAACCTTAGCAGAGTTACACCCTTCAAAGTGTAAGACATATGCCACTTTGCTTGGGATTGTGCTGTAGATTAGGCTGTCTGGTTCCAGGGCTTGCTCCTTAACCCGTCTGCCAGTTCTTGACTCGCTCTCAGAGCTGCCAGATGGACTGCCACTTTATTTAGCCCTGAAGTTGCAACGCATGGCGTTATTGCTAAGCCTGCAGAGTAGGAAAGAAGCAGCAGGGAATTAGAAGGATTCTGCAGAATAATCACTCTAGCTAGGGTCCGCGATCTCCTCCGGAGAAACATGCAGTCAGTTGTAAGCAGATCAGGGCTACAGCAGAATGGGCACAACCTCAGGGCTGAGTAAGTGGCAAATGACAGCGAGAATGAATTGGAAAAGTGTGTCAAGGAGTGAGCTTTGGGGATGGGCACCTCTGGAGGCAAAGCTAGAGGAAGCAGAATGCCTGATGGCTTTGATCCAGGGAGTTCTGTTCTGATGGTCAGGCAAGGACATACTCCAGGTTGAAGGTTCACTCCAGAACTGTGTTGCTGCTTATGTATCAAAAAGCCTGATTTGAAGAATCCTTGCTTGGCCTGAAGAGGTCTCTGAAGCTGGAGGTCATAGTGTTCTGCATAGGTCCTGGTTCTAGCTCCGCGTCCCCTGACCTGATCCTTTGTTTAGAATCATAGAGTTGGAAGGGGCCTCCAGGGTCATCTAGTCCAACCCCCTGCACAGTGCAGGAAATTCACAAATACCTTCCCCTCCCACATCCCCAGCAACCGCTGCTCCATGACCAGAAGATGACAAAAAAAACCTCCAGGCTCCTTGGCCAAACTGGCCTGGAGAAAATTGCTTCCTGACCCCAAAGTGGCGATCGGCATTTCCCTGAGCGTGTAAGAAAGGCCCACGAGTTTGGTGCTGATCTCCCATTTTAAGGTTTGAACCAGCAAATTTGCAGTGCTTGTCTTCCCTTTGGATGTTTCCTTAGCAAGTCACAGCACCAACATCCATTTCATTCCACTCATCCAACTGACAGAGCGGTTGATGAGCCTTTTAAAATTGTGCATCATGTCGTGTGACTGAAAGCAAAGTTATCTCTGTGACTTTCTCAATGGATCTCGTTCACAGGTACAGCTGTGGGCCAACAGTGTATGATCATGCACACCTTGGGCATGCTTGGTGAGTTTAGATTTTATTTACTTATACTGAAGACT